GTCCCTGCCCATGGCAGGGGGGTGGAACTGGATGATCTTTAAGGTCCCTTCCAACCCAAACCAGTCCATGACTACAATTTCTACAGCTGGGAAATCACTTTACTAGCTGTGCCCAGGGTCAGTTAGCCAATCAGACCCTGTTTCACAGGAAAAAACCCAGCACAGAGGGAAGTGGGACACTAAGACTATGTTGGAAGTCAACTGCAGAGTTGGAAAAACCAGCAGAGCCCCCATTTGTATGTTCCCTGCTGGGAGCATGGCAAGTTCCTGAAGAAAGAACCAAATCCTGGGTTCAGCCACAGTCTGTCTCAATGCCAGAGAACACATTCTTCCTTCTAAACTCACAAAAGCTTTTCTGAAAGACTCTGAGAGAAATATATTGTCCTTGAAGAAATGGAGGAATTTTCATTTAACATCTTCTTGGTTATTCCACCACCACCCAAGGACTTCTGAAAATTCAGCATCTGGCTGAAGGAATGCTCTAAAAGGTGCAGAGCTGGGATAACAGCTCCCAAAGTTTAGAGGATTAATCACAAACAGGTTCTGGCAAGGTGGAACCTCCTGCCAGCAACTCTAATGGGTTTGGAATTTTCTTGCATGCGTTCCTCGGGTCCATCTGCCTCCATCACATGCTGCTTCCTGCTCACCACTTAAAAGCTTTGGAGAAAATAAACCCTTTTTCATGCATCTAGAACATGCTCTGCTGCCACCAACTCAAGTCAGCAAGACCAAAGGGGCTGAGTCCACAACCCCAAGTGGAGCTGCCAGACGTTGAGGTCTTTTTTTTTTGGGGGGGGAGGGAAATGAACATTTTGCTGCACTTATTTTAAAAAGCTACATTTGTGTGTCTGCCTTTAAACCAGGCAGCTTGGTAGGTGGCAGCCTGCTCGGGCAGCTAGGCTTAATTATTTAAAGGAAAACCAATTAGTAAAGGTGACTAAATTTCCACGGGAAGAACAGCAACTTAGAGCGAGGCTAATTCTAGACTCCCAAATACTGCAAGACAGAGTTTTCTTTTTATGTGAATGGTTTTGATCTAATTGGAGTCTGCTCCTTTAATTGAAAACTAAAAGGCCCTTGTGGGTTAAGTCTGGTTGCTACCTTCTGGAACAGCTCCTTCATATAATAGCTGCTGCGTTTTCATTGATGTAAGCTGGTTCAGGCTCATCAGCTATGCGTGGGGTGCCAGCAGAAACTCAGGCATTAACACTTGGGGAGCCTCACTTCTCTCATGAATATTTTAAGAAAGGTCACAGTCAGGAGCAAAGGATAAAACAAAAAAAAAGGAAATCAAAAGGCTATTTTCCTCCCAAACTCCAGATGAAAGCTACACTGAAAAGCGTCTACAGTCTTTTTCTCTAGCCAGAATTGTTGGCTCAGGAATAAATGAGCAGGTAACCAGGCACTTGATTCAGTTCTTTGGAACTTGTTAATTATATTTATAAAAAAAAAAAAGAACAAGCCCAGGACTCCTGTCCATTCTGGTAATCTCATCTCTGGGTTGAAATCCAGTGTTTCTAAAGCACAGAAGGTGCTGAGCTTCCCTCCCTCTGGTGTCACGAGAGCTGCAGCTCCTGGCAGAGACAGAAGATGTTTTGGGCTCCATTCTCCTCAAATCTGTTTCAGGTTGACTAATCCAGCTGGATAAGACACCTCACAGGGTGCAGGCTGTGTGTGTTGCCTTTGCTGAAGTAGGAGGGAATGTGGAGTGCTGCTGCACCTTCAGCAGTGAGATTTTCAGGCTCTTTTTGGGCTCACAAGCTGATCCTTAGATGCACTGTTTGCTCCAGTGACTTCTCTCCTTCTTCCCCAGGAAAGGCAGCAGGGAGTCCTTGTGTCTCTCTGACCTTCAGTTCACCCCAGCCTGGTGTCCTCTGGATGGTGGTGGTCCCAGATAACACCCTTGTTCTGCCCCAAACTGGGAATGCTCAATCTTTTGGATGCAGACACATTTCCCTGCTGTTACAGACACTGATTTCCTCTTTGTCTTGGTCTACAAATTCCAGGTACTGGCACTTACCTGCAGAGCATTCCAT